GCCGTATTGGCTTGCGTCAGTGGTCACTATGAATGGCTTCTGAGGATCGGGAACCATAAGAACCTCATGATTCATGAGTGCATGCTTCAATCTCTTGAAAGCACCCTCGCACTCATCACTCCAGTCCCACGGCGTGTCAAGTCGAGTTAGATTATTCAAAGGAGAGGCGACTGTAGAATAGTTCTTTACGAAGTTCCTATAGTAGCCGCACATTCCTAAGAAAGATCTGACCTCAGTGACAGTCTGAGGTCGTGGCCAGTCTCGAATACTAGCCACCTTCGCATCCTCCGGCCTAATCCCTTCCGCGGATACTTCATGACCCAAGTATAGTATCTTAGTGCGACCGAACTCACACTTCTCTAAGTTGACCTTATACTTGTGTTGTCGCAGGAGTGAGAGTATAGTCTCAACGTGCTTTGCATGCTCCTCGGCAGACTTGCTAAAGATTCGAATGTCGTCAAGGTATACCACGACAAACTTATCTAAAAGGTCATGGAAGATCCGATTCATAGCGTGCTGGAATGTACCCGGCGCATTGCAAAGACCAAAGGGCATCACTACAAACTCATACAGACCGTATCTGGTCTGAAAGGCTGTCTTGTGTGTGTCCTCAGGTCTTATTGCGATCTGATGATATCCGGATTTCAAGTCTATCTTACCATAGTACTTGCATCCCTGCACCCTATCCAATAGGTCGTCTATGCGAGGTAGAGGCTCTGCGTTCTTCACTGTGATGGCATTGAGGCCTCTATAGTCAATGCACATCCTCAAAGTACCCCCCTTCTTCGCTACGAATAGAACGGGTGATCCGTAAGGGGAAGTACTAGGCCGAATCCATCCCTTCTTTGTCAGGTCCTTAAGCTGTCGCCGAAGTTCATCTAACTCGGCGGGAGCCATCCTATAGATCCTTCCCTTCGGGGTCTTACTCCCTGCAATGATTTCTATAGCGTGCACAACTTCCCTTTCAACAACTCATGTGGGCTCTTCGAACAGATTAGGGAACTTAGCAACGACGCGTTCTATCTCTGGGGGTGTTTTAACGGCCTTCCCCTTCTCAGAGACATACACAAGGTACGTACCCTCCTCTTGGTTTTGCTTATAGTAATTGTAGAACGTTGATGCGCACAAGCAGCCATAGGTATCTATAATGCTACTGGCCTTGAACTTAGTCAATCTGACAGTTCGGCCATCGGGCAACTTATGCTTGAGCACCTTCTTATCCCAATCAAACTGGGGCTTAGCATTAGTCAATCTGACAGTTCGGCCATCGGGCAACTTATGCTTGAGCACCTTCTTATCCCAATCAAACTGGGGCTTAGCAACTTCGAGGTAGTACATGCCTAACAACATGTCGAATGGTAAGTCGTCGCTAACCAAGAACGAAATCTTATGATTAAGTTCGCATCCTCCATAGGAGAAGGTACAGACTACGTCCTTGATATAGTCTGTTACTATCATGCGCTCCTTGTTGGCCAAAGTAGATGCTACTAGTCTACTAAGGTGCCGTACCCGGTCCTATAGGTGCAACCTTTCCAAACAGTCGCGACTTATGTAATTCCGCGTGGATCCGATGTCTATGAAGGCACCACATTTGTGGCCTCCTACATCCAATTCCACCACGAAATGTTCCCCTCTAGGACCTTTCCTTAGCGCCACCCAAGACTCGCGAGGGTCCTTATTTGACCACTCACTCTCCAAGTCTTCTAAGGCATCAGACACATCGAACGTACAGAGCATAGTTTGGTCTAGATGAGTCTGCGGGGTGACTAAGGAGTCATGAGCTTTGGCCTTCTCGTGAAGTGGGGAGGGTATCTGGCCCATTTCACCAAGAGTAGAAGCAACTAACACTTCCACTGGCCTCACGCGTTTCCCGAGCTAGAAGCCTGGGAATAAAATGCCCCCATCTTTGGAGGTATCTTTTGCGTAACCTTTGCGTTCTGGCACTTGTACTGCGAGTGACCGTATTCCCCGCAGTTGATACAAGCGCCACGCACTCGGCGGTCACGCCACACGTCTTGATCAAGACTTGCCTTCACCCAATCAGTCTGCTTGGTCTGATTGGAGGCGGCCTTCCCTTGACTCCTTGGTTGGCCCTTCCCTCGGCCACCTGCCTTAGTCTTGACTACCGCGGCGAGGGTGCTACCCTCAGCTACCTCCTCGCCGTCAAACTCTGTATAGTCCATCAGGTCTGTGAGCTCGTCGATCTCAGTTTGAGTCCCATCGGACTCCACCATCATAAACTTAGCCCCCTTCTTCTTCCATTCATGAGGACTCTTCTTCTTCTTCGTGTCATTCTGAGTGGGTTGAGCATTGCCCAGTGTGGCCTCCAAATCTAAGGCTTTCCTAGACAATGTCTCAAATGAATGGTACTCGAGGCGTGCCTCGCTGGCCAGCAAGTTCCTGATGTTCTCAGGAAGACATCTAACAAAGGTTGTTAACAGGAACTGGTCACTATAGTTGATGCCAGGGACGAGGATCAGGCTCTCAACGGTAGTCGTAAGCTCAATGACCGACTTGAACTTTCGTTGGTCCAGTTTGTTAATCACATCAGTGGCTCTTTGTGCCTCCTGTGGATTATGCCATCGAGCTTCTACCATTTCCATGCACTGGTCTAACGTTAATGACTTAACCCAGTCCGCCATGCGTCGCCCGTACCCTGCCTTCACAACTACACCATCTAGCCATTTGGCTGCCTTACCCTCGAGGTAAGATGCAGCAGTTACCACTTCATCCTCAGGCAAGGTCCTCTTTGCCTTCACCCAAACCGCGACGGTCCTCAACCATGTGTTGAGTTCTTCGTCCTTCTTCTCGCCTGAGAAGGCAAGAGGCGGTTTCATTGGGGTCTTAGGATACAATTGACCCTGCGGCTGTCCAGATTGCTGAACAGGTTGTTGCGGTGGTGTAGCTCCCACCGCTGGACCCGAAGAAGAAGATGCAACAGTCTGTGCGACTGGTGCAGACGTACCACTTGGTTGTGTACCAGCTTGAACTGGAAAGGGGCCTGACATCGCCGATAACGGCAACGGCGATTGTGCTGGTGGCCTAAATCCTGGCCTGGTCAGAACGTCCAGGATCTGGTCCAAAGTGTTCTGCATGAAGTCCAACCTGCTGTCCACGTGCGCATGCAGCGACAACATGTTGTTCCTCAACACTTTCATGGGCTCATTCATTCCAGAGTCATCCAAGCCCTCTAACTCAACTTTGTCAGCCTCTAATGTATCAAGCCTGACTGTTCTATTTTTGATTTCCCTTTCTCTGTCAGGTAGCTTGTTTCAGTTCCCTCTCTAATCTTTCACGGATCCTTTCGACTTGTTGGAGCTCCCTGAGCTCCCTTTCGCGAGGAGTCAACGGGCTGAACTGCGAGCCCGCCATTTGACTTGTAGACTGACGTGATCTTACTGAACTGGAAGTGCCCGCGGACCCTGTTGGCATTCCCAACTGGGGTCCAGACGAGGAGACAACAGAAGATGCAGTGGAGGATGCTGCTGCAGAAGACATGGTTGTTGCCCTGGCTGCTGCTGCAGACTGTTCCCTAGCTGCAATGTTTGTTGCCTCTCTCGATGCTGCGAGAGCACGGGCTCTGCGCTCGACACGAATGCGTTTTTCGTCTTCCGGTTGTAGGGCCTGGAACACGTGCGGGATCCTACGTGACCTTGCACGTGTTAGTCTAGCATCGTCAACTCTCTCCTCATCGACGTCTGACCCGTTCATGAATTAGGCAAACATTGGTTGCACTAGAACCCCCTAGTGGAGTCCTACCACAGCATGTGTCTCACCGGCACCTAATTTTCTAAAAATAGTTGTGTCCGGCAGGTCCCCTACTGTACCGATCAAGTGGCATGTCTATAACATTCACAACAGATTGTCTACATAGTCTAGATGTACTCTGATTGGTTCACTTACAACAGCATTAGACAGAACTGGCTATGGTAGCATACAACTGTCCTAATCTAATTCTGTCTGTGAGGTGTTAGCTGTTTGTCCACCAACTAATCAAAATACAAAAAGACCATCTTGCAAATGTATGATGAGTGGGTATGGTTGTGTATTCAATTGAGCACCAATTAGAACCTACCCTCCCCTCAATCCAACATACCGAACAGCATCTTTGAGCAGGCAGTGTCTTCGTGTGTATTTCGGCCCACCCCTGTGCCCAAGTCGTTACCGAGCAAGCCAGCCCAACCACTCTTATTTACCCTCGTACGGCGACGAGCCTTCCTGTCCATGTGATCTGGCTGATCAGGAGGAATTTATAGAGCGCCCCCATCTCTTCAGGAATTCTTTAACATCGCAGTCAGGACGACGATCACAGCCAGATTCACAATGAACTCCCAACCAGAAATGTTTATAGACGGTCTGGTAAGCGTCTGTCATGGGCTGGCA